AGGAAACCTCTGCTGCCGACTGAGAGCGAGGGCAGCCTGAGTTCCTTTCAAGCTTTCAACACCACCATCACCCCAGGGGGGCTGCGTGGGGCAGATGCCTGCAGGCACCCCATCCTGCAGCACTGTCCTCTCCAGGCAGAAGGGCAGAGAGCCAGCAGGGCAGCCCAGCACTCACCAGTTCCTCCCACTGGGCAGAAATCCACAGCTGCCCAGTTAGCAGAGCTCCCCAGTCCCGCCTCGGCACCAGTGACAAAGCAGGAAGGGATGCTAGCGGAGAACAGGGTCTAGCACAAGTCCTTGACACGAACGACACAGTCATACTCCTGACAGCACGTCAGGCGGAGCGGGCTGTGGAGATGCTCAGAGCTATTAGATCTCCAGTCTAGTGGAAAGTTCCCACCTAACAGAAAAGGGAACGCGATACTTTGAAAAACAAACACTGACATTAATAAAAAGGAAGCCAAGGCAGCTGTGTGTCATTCCCCTTTGCCCTGCTCATCAAAGCCTCCAGGGACAAGCGCTCTGGGGGAACCCTGATCCCATTTAGAGATCAACGCGCCAGCGGTCCCACCTCGGCGGCAGCCACCTGCAGCCGTGCCCACCAGGAGCCTGCTCCACACCTACCTGCCATATGTCACACGTTTAAGGAAAATATTATACGTTTCCAGACAGGGTGTGAAATTAATATTGCTTGGGCAGAGTGAAGGATCACTTCATCCTACTGGTGGCAACCAATTATTCATCTGCCTGTTGAATATTAATAAGGATGGCAGAAATGTGCTACACAATGAGCAGCCGGAGATGGATAATTTGTCATCCAGCCTTTTCATCTGCCGCTGCTGGGAGGGGTGATGATGTACTTGCTGCCACCACAAAGACAGCCTGCTGCGGTCCTGATGTCGAGGTGCTGCTCTGCAACCGGCGATAAGGATACGGTTGGAGACAGGACTGTGCAAGTCTCCTACAGGTGTTCTCAAGGAGCAAAGCCCCTGCAGAGCTCGCTAGGACCAAGCCAAGAGCCTGGCCAGGTGAGAGCACTGGGAAGGCAAGAAGCTCACTCTGGTGAGCGGGGCACTGCTCAGACTCCGGGTATCTGAATTCAGCTCCCACGTTAGACTTTCCTGGCAACCTTGACCACAGCCACCTTATTTCCCTTTGTTCCAGGTTTCTCCATCTGTTGAGTGCCTGAGCACATCCCACCTCAGCAAGGGGACAAGAGATGGTTGTGAGAGGCTTCCATGAGGCAGGGAAGAAAATCACAGAGAGAAACCTCTCCCACCTCTACCAAGATTTCTTTTTGATCCCACTCCAAGCCCCAACACAGAACAGACCAAAAACTGCCAAAGCCTCTCTGTTTAGAGCAGGGAGCCCCAAGGCCACTGCCCCAAAGTGCCACACCAGGAACTGGTGGGAGCACATGGATTCAAGCAGCTACAACTCAACTCTCTCGTCCAGAAAAGCTCACTGGCTGCACTGGAACGACTCCAGACTCATGCTGGCCTAAACGACGCCCCAGGTGTCCAGATCAGAAAGACATCCAGCTGGCTCCCCATTCACACAGCTCCAGGAGTTACCACTCCAAAGCACTCCAACCCTCAGGCTGGGAAATAAGGCAGCAGGTACGGGCATCTGTTTGGCTCTGTCCACCTTGATGCATGCCCATCAAAAAGGCAAATCTTTCGTCTCACCTTCCTCTGAAGCACACAGATCCCACCCAGCGACCACCAAACCCATCATGAGACTGGAAAAAGCCCCTGGCTGTCAACAGCTATTCCAAGATGTAACTCTGAAACACAATTACCGGCCCTTACTCCTCATACAGGGTCGTGCAGCCAGCCAGACTGCAGCAGCAAGACAGTTGTGAAGGTGCTTCCCTCCCTCCCTCTCACTGGGGTGTTTGCTTCAAACTCTAACTACAGTCAATTAAAAGAGTGTCTGTAGTCATGAAGTGCCTCCCTAATGATGCCAGAGCGGGAGTCCAGATTTACCTTCTCTCCTCATGCAACTTTTAGCATCAGTTTTCTTCCTGAGTGAGGCACCACCGTATGTGAGATGCAACCACCAGTGCTGAGCAGGTCACCCAGCAAAGAGATTTACATGTAATCCTTCAGCTCCCTCCCTGGGCCAGAAGATGTGGCAGCCCAAACTCCTCCAGAGCACGTGAACAGCGGCAGACTGCGGCTGAGAGATGAGGGTGATGAGGCCGCGTAATATGAGCGGCTTAAGAAGTTACTGCCCTGCAGCCAAGAAGCAGCAGCCAACCGCGAGTGCGCTCCTTCTCCTGCTCATCGCCAAGTTAAATCAGTGGACTACAGCCAACCCCAGCAGGGTCAATCATATTCTTTCAATCACACGGCTATATTGCAAACACTCACCCAACTGTGCCCTTACTCTCTCCTCGCAGCTCCGTCGGGCTGGAGCTCACCAAAGAGCCTGGGTTGTGTCAATACCACCAGCAGAAGTGACGCAGATTAGCAGGGAGCCAATAACTTTAAGCAAGAAGATGGCAATTTGACAGTGACTTTTCCTGACATGACTGTACTTAAAATGACAGCCTGGAAGTGTCTTGCTGATGAATGATGCAGCAGATGCAGAAGGCTAATGCTTTGATGCGGTAACAGCTGGGAATATGCCTCCCTCCCTGCTGAAGGTGGAAACTGTTGCTTCTTGATGAGTATATTCTACAGGGTGCAGAAATGCTGAAGCCAAACTAGGACATGCTCTAAAGCTGTTATAGAGCAGCGAATTGTCCACAAATTTTCCTACTTAACCCACAAGACTAATGCAAACAACAGGGTGAATTCCCTGCATTAAAAGGCCAAATGTTAAGAATAAGGTAATGTTTCCTTTGGCTGTAACAAAAATGCATCACTAGCAAGGGGAGCTCACTGACACAGAACTACCAACACTTAACAGGGATTCAGGGACAGGTTCAATATTTACACGACAAAGAAAGTGCCATCACGGTTTAGCAGTGTTAAAAAAAGTCAGAAAAGGCTTTGCTCTGGTTTAGGATGCAAGCCCACCCCGGAGCACGGGTTAGTGGGCTACACCACTTCACTACCGGACTTCTTTGCACCTTTTTCTGAAGCATCTGCCCCTGGAGAAGGGGAGACACAGGTTCAACACGGCCTGACAGCTCCTTGGCTTCTACGCCCACGCACCAGAGCTGAGGAAAGCAGAGTTAAGCAGCACTGCGGACCCACCAAAAGACCGTCCACTTTTACACCCCACCAGAGGCAGAGCGTGATCATCCCCGGCACACTCACACAAGGCTCTGCACAAAACAGCGAGAGGGCTCTGCAGCTTCCAGCCTCTCAGCTCATCTCAAATCCCTGACCACCCCAGGCTGCAAGCCTGTCAAAATCTCCCAGATGCTGTGGGTTCAGACGGGAAATCTCTGAGGATGCTGACAATTCAGTGAGAGGCAGCCTGATCCAGACCAGTGCTCTAACCTCCACCCTATCATCTCCCTGGCTGTGGCCTGTGATGCCTCACAGCACAGGAACACCAGGACTAGGTGCTAACGCATATAGGGACATTACTGATGGACACGCTACAAGGATTAGGGCTCCTGCGTCACTAATGCAACCTGCAGTCCAACCTGCCATCGCACAAGCTTGCCTTAAACTCTGCCCTAAGCCTGACCGTCTGAGACACCGATGCTACAGCAGCCTAAGGAGTGAAATGTCCCCGTAACACATCGAAGGGCAGCCTGGCTTTGGGAGCTGTTCCTCCCATGCAGTCTACTGTGTTAGGGCCTGCACTTCTCCACCAAGTCCTGCTGAGCTCTTCCCTCCATCAAATCCCTCCAAGCTCTTTGTGGGCTCAAGTGATCAGACTTAGAGGTCTGTGGGATGCTCAGCCTGCTCGCTCAGCTCACGTGGGATTTCCACAGAACAACACCATGAGAGAGGTGAGCAGGATTTAACTCTACAACCAGGCATTCGTGTTAGAGCAGCACAGCCAAGGACGAGGCACCCTGCCGTCCCCTGGCCATCGCTCCTTGAAGTCTAATTGTTTAATTAAATGTTTGACTTACTAATACAAATGCAAGGTTTCCAAGTAATCTCCCAGGAATCAGCTCTCTCACTAGCCAATTCTCCACTTACACCTGACCCATTTGACAGAAGTCAATATTCAATAACAAGTGTAATTGGCAAAGAAACCTGCCCAAGCGCAGAGGAGCTTGCCAGCCTTCCCCTGCAGCTCCGCTCTGCTCCAAAGAGCTTTCACTTCCCCTGCAATAAACAGCCTTCAAAGACTGGAAACGCTACAGGTTCCTGCAAATAGGCTGACATCCCATGCCACCTCTCGGGAACCCAGCACTTAAACCCCGCAGCAGAGAAGGGTCGGCAAGAGGTTCTGGGCTAGCAGATGGGAAGAGGAGTGTGACCGCCAGCCCGGCCCTGCTGCTTCGAGAGGGGCTGGCTGGAACGCTCCATCTCCCGCGTGGCCTGACAAGATGGGTTTTATTGACTGCCAGCGTTGTTCAGCGATTGATTCACAGAGTCACCTCGGGGACTCGCAGACTGACTCAGCAACGGTGAGGACTGGAATAGCTCCATAGTGCCTGCCTTCCTCCTGCTCCCCCAGGCTCACCAGAGCCCTGCCTCCCCAAATCTGATCCCTTAGAAGGCCAGGAGAGAGTCTCTACCCCAAATCTCATATGTATGCACACACACACACACTTTCAACACTTAAGCCTGTTTTTGCCAGACTATTGGCAAAACAACAGTTGGCTTCAGCTAGCAGTGTGGGCAGAAGATCTGCTCAGAAGCCGGGCTGCGTTAGGAAGAGCATTGCCAGCAGGTTGAGGAAGGGATCCTTCCTCTCTGCTCCGCACTGGCGAGGCCATGTCTGGGTGCCGTGTCCAGTGCTGGGCTCCCCAGTACCACAGAGACAGGGACATACTGGAGGGAGTCCAGCAAAGGCAAGAGACAATGAGCTCAAACCAAAATACAGGAATTTCCATTTAAATAGTTTTAAAAAAATAAATACATTTTTATTGTGAATGTGATCGAACACTGGAACAGGTTGCCCACAGAGGTTGTAGAGTCTCCAGCCTTGGAGATATTCAAAACACAACTGGATGCAGTCCTGAGCAGCCTGCTCTAGTTTACCCTGCTTTGAGCAAGGCAGGGTTGGGACTAGACGATCTTCAGTGGGGACCTCAGCCATTGTGCAAGTTCTCACCAACACCTCACTCACATTTTCTCTAACCACCAAAGTAATGAATCCTATAGAGAGAACTGAGCTGCCACCCCTTTTAGAGCAAGGAGGTGGTATTCCCAGAACAAAAAAGTTCAAAAGTGCTCTGGAGACTCAGAGCACGGGAGTAGCTGCCATTCATCCTCTGCCCAAACTTCAGTTCCATCCAAAGCCACGTGAGCAGAGGCCACTTCTGCACCCAAGACCCCATGTCCTCTCCGCAGGACAACCCAACTGACAGCAGGCTACCTCTTCCCAAGAGTGGAAGCAGCCGCTCCCTGACAATAGTAGAGAGGTGGGGGGAAAGCAAATCCATAAATACCAGGGGAAGTGAAGTACCAGTGCCCTCTGCTGCTGACAGTGTTTATTCCCTGGTTGAACAAAACCCCGAGGGCTCAGAAAGTCCACTCTCCGCTTCAGATGCTTGCTGCTAAGTAGTAACAGCATTGCTCAACTCTAGGTTTGTGTCTGTGCCAGCAGTTCAAGAGCAAAAAGCGTTTATGAAAAACTGCAGCACTTACAGCCACGCTACAGGCTCTCACAGCACTGAGAGGCAGGCAGGAGGGATCCATGCTCGGCCTGCTGCATATGGGACCGCAGGCTCTTGCTGCACAACCCCTCACATGCCCTTTTGCAGCCCACGCTCCCTGCAGCAACTCCCCCTCCTCAGAGCCCCCTGGACATTTTCTTGTTTGAGGACTCACCTTGAACCTGAGCACTCAGTTTTTCCAGGTCCTGCTCTGTCATGTGGGAAAATCTGCAGTTGGACCCAAAATCACACTGTCCTGGAATAAAAGCCACGGAACTCCATGAGAGCTGCACACACGAGGTCCTCCCTCATCAATGTGCATGCAAACCCAAGATCGATTACATCTGCAGGCTGGACACACAGGGCCAAGCCCTTCCCTCCCTCCAAGACAAACACACATACAAGGGCTCTCCAGAACAGCCTTGGGCTGGCTCACGAAGGAGCTGCTGGAGCTTGGGCAGTTATTTCTACCTCAGAAGAACTCACCTGTTTGTAGAAACTTCCGACAAGGTTTCTTGGTTTGCTCCTCTTGCAGGATAGCAGCAGCATCTAGGGGAGACAAAGGACAAAACAGAGTAAAAGTCTCTTGCTCAGCAATACCCCATTGTACCATGATCCCAAACAAGACAGTTGCCTAGTGGGAAGCCAACAGCAATACCCCATTGTACCATGGTCGCAAACAAGACAGTTGCCTAGTGGGAAGCCATTTTATATGACAACCAGGAACTTAAGCCACAGATAAACTGACAGTTAACAGTCCCTGTTTGCATCCCTGGCTTCAGCTTTTCACCGGCTTGCAAATATCACCTTCTTTGCTTTCTGTTTCATGCTTTCTCCCCATGCCCATAGGGGAAAAGAAGCATGACAGAAAAGCAAGGACTTTGCAGCACTGCTGTGCAGCAGAGAAAGACCAGGCAGACTCACAGAGCTCTCAGAAAAGCTCTGTGCAAGGTCTTACAGAACCCTGTGCCGAGTCTCCAGTGGACACCACTGAAATGGTCCTTTACCTCCTGGAGATGTTCTGGGGAAAATGAGCCCCAGAGATACAGCAGCTCCCATAGACTGCGGAGGAACTTGTACTGGCTGATGCCAGGCCACAGAGTCTGGAGACAGGAGGAGACAAACCCCCTAATCAGGGATGGGATGAGGAATTTTATCAATCAGAGGAAAATCAAGGGTTGCAGACTGGTGAGAAGAGGCAGATTAGGTAATCTGCCTCACCATCACTGACCCAGCTAGAACTGTGCGGGGCCTACTGGTCCTCCCCACTCGGCCACTACAGAGAACCTTTCCAACTTCCACGTATGGTTACACAGACAGCAGAGCCACCCAGAGCTCCGCAGGGTATTCCTCACCCAGCTAGCCAGGAGACAAACACAGCCTGCAACTCCCAATTCTGAGGAGCCAGAAGGAAGCAGAGGAACATACAGGCAACGGTTTCACAATCAGTTTAACCCAAACTAAGTCTTTGCCAAAGTACACAGTCCTGCTCTGTCTCTCAGACCCTGGACACACATTCCCACCATACTCCTCAGGCTGGTACTAAACACTTGTAACTGTGTGGTGAGCCAGGTCAGAGCACTGAGCTGGGTGTGAAGAGTCCTGTTAAACAGGCAGAGGACATAGGGCTTTCCTCCAGCACGTCCTGACACAGCCTCCAGCCCCAGAATTCCAACTCCTCCTCTGCCAAAACCTCAATGCACCTAGCCCCCTTCCTCTGCTTGTCCCCTTGGCGAAGACAGGTTTGAGCTTTGAGTTGCTTCCCCAACCCTTTCACCCTTCTGGGCTCTCCAGTCAAGTGGTCCCATCCTCAGCCTTTCCCACGGCCACCCTCAGAACCAACATCTCCACCCAGTGCAGAGAACTGCTGCCAGCGTCCTGCCCGTTCGCACAACACGTGCGTACAGCCTGCCTTCCAGCCCACTTTCTTCACGTACGCGCCCATACTCCTTGCTCCTCGCACGTCAGAGATCAACTCTGGTTTGCAGAAGGCACCTAACTCACTTTCAGAAACTGTAACTCACTTTGTTCTCCGAGGTCTCCTGTCTCAGATTTGCTCACGATGCCAAGAGAGCTTTATCTGCAACTCCTGTTCTCTGGAGCAACCTGCCTATCTCTTCCACCTCATTTCAAGTCCCAGCTGACATCTACAGTTTCCCCTTCCCACATCCAGACACATGAGGGTTTTGCCTCTGAGACCGCTTGCCAGCAACAGTATCAAGTCTGCAACCCACTAGCACAGACAATCTGAATATAAATCATCAGTGCTGATTTATTTTATCTATTCGTCCCCACCACCACCTCATCCATCACCTCCCCAGTCCCAGATAGGCAGTGGCAGATAGCTGGTAGCACCCACCTCGGAATAAGTCGTACCAGACTCTCTTAGCCCTGAGATGCTGCACTCCATTGAGGTGTTTCTTCCTGTTGTGAAGGTTGTCCTGAAAGGACCTGTCACAGTAGTCACAGAAGTATCTTTTCCCCATCTCTCTTCTGGCAGAGCAGCATCAGCATGGCCTGGGAAGCATCAGACAGATCCTCGGCTCCCAGCCATGCCTGCCCTGGGGACAGATGATCCAAGATTTACAGCGCCTGCTTCCAAAGGAAAGAACTCAAATCATTTAGGGTTGGCAGACAGCGAAAGAGGTGAGACCCAATAGTATATACTCCTGTCCATCAGAGACTGCTAAGGCAGCTTCTGCTGCGTGTACGTGGGAGAACAGGCTCGGATCTGCATTTCTGACCTCTGTTACCCAAAGCAACAATAGCTCTGCTGAAAGAATTCTCCTTCCTGCAGTGTGCTGGAGTTCAGACCACACAAAACGGAGACCCTAGAGAGCCAAAAGCTCCCAGTCACCACCTGCACCAGCAGAAACCATCCAATGTGCAAACAGGAGAGGTAGAGGTCCATGCCACAGCCTCCACCTGGGGCCCCAGGACTTCGACCCCGGACCACAGACAACCTCCACAAGCTGCCATGCAAGAGGAAGGAAATTCACCCATGTCCGTCTCCACAAGGTAAGAAAGAAACTCGGCAACTCCTCAAAGTTGAAATAAAGGCTGGTCTCACCTGTACTGCAAGAAGCTGCATTACAAACACGAAAGGACATAATATCTCCTTCAGTTCACCTAGCTACTTACTTACTCCTGTACTTCAAGGACTGCTCTCCTCATCCTCCTCGGCCGATGGCACCAAGATGTGTCTGCTTCACCAAGTACAGCGCTTGCAATAACTAAGACCACAACAGCCTTACAGCCAGGAAGGAAGAACCCCCAACTCCACGGCCAGTGAATGCCACCTGGAGATGCCCAGTCCTCCTCTTCCCACAAGGGAGAGGGGCTTCTCACACACCTCTTTGTAGTCTGGAGACTCTGCTGGGGCATATCAAGAAGTAACAGGACAGAATTTGGGTGCTCTCATCTGTGCTGGGCCTGAATTAGCCCAGACCCTGGTAGGGCAGACGGGGTTTGTGATTAAGTGCAGCCCTGTCCCCATCGGCTGTCCTTGCTGGAGGTGCAACAGCTACCCTGAAGGAGCTGTAAGTTCTCTCGTGAGTGATATAAAGGTACCTGATAAATGCCAAAGATGGATGGACTGGGAGATAAACTCCAAAAGCAACTCTCCAGTTTTTGACACCTTGACAGCCAAATGCGTTTAAAAAAAATGGCACAGAGACCAGCGCAAGAAATAAAGATTTTATAAATAAACCAGGGTCAGAATCAATCACAGCCTCCCTAACGATTCCTCAGAATCAGCGGGAAGAGCAGCAGCAACAGGCGATCCCTCAGAGCCGAGCATGCTGAGCTAAGGCAGCTCTGCCGAGCCCTCCTGCCATCCATCCATCCTGGCACCTCACGAGCAACTCTGCCAAACCCTCTTCCTTCCCTGACTCCTGAGAACTACTGCTTCAAAATCAAGTCCCTGGAAATCTCTCAGGCCTCACACCGCAAGTTAAAATGTAGTCTCCTCCATCTGTACCCAGTTGCATTCAATGGAAAGATCATCTGTTTTTTTGAATTGGCTTGCAAACCTTCACACTGAAGGTAAAATGTTCAGAAACTCCAACTGAACTTGAAATCTCTCTGTTTTAAGGTCCTTTCCTTGTTCTCCAGGTGAAATACCTTGTTGGGAGGTGGTGCTGACCAGCCAGCCATCCCTCCCTGATAGGACTGCAAACTGCTTCACCCGCAAACACAATCAGCCCTGGTTCCTGCTTGGAAGGTGTAACTCAGCTCTGTAGGGCCTGAGGTCTGAAACTGTCCTACTCCGGCCCAAGAAACCAAAACCAAGTGCTGCTTAACGAACATTAAGCCATAATTTTCCCCGATCCTTTACTAGATCGTCCCAGAGTTTGGCAGCCAGCTTCGCTGCACTGTGCTGGGGCTGCTGGAATCCAGAGTGAATGCTCCTACCCTCAGCATCTGGCCCACTGGCAGGCTCTGCTGTGGTTTTTAAGTATTGAAAAATCCCCCTTCTGCATCTTATGCCGTAGTCTCCCAAAGTTTCTGGGAATATAAAAGCTTCCTGTTTCAGTTGCTGGCTCCTGCACTCCATCTCTGCAGAAGTGGCTGCTGTGAATAGAGAAAACAAATGAGATTCTGCAGCGGTCCCACACAAGTTTCCACAGATCTCAATGGGAATTCTGCCTGCAGAAGCCCAGCAGCAGCCAGCCTTTGAAATCGTATTTCAAACTTTTCCTTTCATCACTCCGACAGCAATAATTGCAGAAGCTCCTTCCCCAATGAGGGCAGAAAGCTCCTACAGATTTCAAGCAGCCAGATCCCACACCCCAGAGGTGCCAGCTCCCGAATTCTCCTAGCAATTCCCATTGCAGTGGATGAACAGAATGAAAAAAGCAATTAGAGAAGCACCAGATTCTCCCAGAGATTGTCCCCTCCAAAGATTCCACTGAACACTTATTTCCATCTTTTTAAGAATTCAATTGCATGGATTATCTTGGCTGGATTCTGACAACTCTCTGCAGCATTAGCAATCCACAGCGCTTTGCACTGAACTAGTACGTAGGAATAAAAGCTGCTTCTGAGCAACACTGGCTAACCTATTTCCATTTTCCCAAATGGCTCAAACAGTAAACAAAGAACATTATTCAGTTGAAAACAGAGATGTTTTCTAATTAAATCCATCTTAGTCATTATGAAATCAAGTAAACGTAGCTGCTTTGTAAGAACTGCTTCAGTTTGGCCATTTCCTCTTAACATTTCTAGACCCTAATTTGCAATTGAATTCAGGCGAATAGACCCCTGGACCCACAGGCAGCCATAAACGATTTCAGACAGGCTTTGTACGAGCTTAAAAGTCTTTATGCATAAATCCAAATAAAAACAAAACAAAACAAAACCAAACCCAGGGCTTTGTCTTGTATCTTGATGCTTAAAAGTCTTAACAAAAAAATCCTCCACTGTAAGCCTCTTGGAGCAATGCTTTATAAGAAATAGCATGTTCTAAGACACCTAGCAGGTGTTTTGCTCATCTAGCTGAGGTGCTTGGTAAAACTCCAGGGAAGATCTCATGTGCACCATCCTACATTTTTCCTTCTCAGATTGCTGCCAAAACACTCCACATTGCGCTCTACTAGCTACAGATTTTATTTAGGACTCTCCAGGGGTTCTTTCACTGATTTCCCCGAGATGTGGGCAGAGGGAAGAAGGTGACCCAGAAACGGGCACACGGCAGACTTGTTTTCGTCTGGGTGTAACTGCTTTTCTCCATGCTGAACCCTGAGAGTTGCTGCTGGGCCTTGACCTCAATTTCCTGCTTTCTTATAGCCCCGGCTTGGGGCCATTTCAGCCACTTTGGATATCCAGACAGATGTGAAGTTAATTAAATCCAAGTGTCAAGCTTATGATACTCAGCTGCTAATTTAAATGTGCTCATATCTCTACGGGAACATGCAAAACACCGGCAGAGTCTGCCAGCACCTTCACAATGACAGAGGGACAGATTATGATTTCCATTATGCCCTGTGTAAATCCAGAGCTCGACTCAGGATTAACACCGACCCGACCGTTACACAAACACATCCTAGTGATAGCAGTTTACGGGCTATTGGGGGGGGGGAGGGAATTTGTCTTAGAGACAACTCCTAGCAGTTAACTTTGAAAAATAATAATAGAGTTTTTCAAAGGGCCACCCTAAGGGTATAACACTATGCACAGGAATATGTGAGGCACCTTCCAGCCTCTGTATGGGCTTCCAGCAGAGGCTTTGCCCTACCCGAGAAACGCCACGGATCTCCACAACAGCTGCATGCAGGAAAGCAAACATAAATGAATAAAGAGAAATGACTATGCAGCCAGACCATGCACTCCTTCTGAGTGGCCGAGGCAAATGAAACAACAGAGCGAGTGTCACTTGAGGATCTGTTCTGAAATTTAATGTAGATGCTCATTTAACAACAGTCCTGCAGAGGGACAACTTCGGTTTTAAGATTCCCCTGCCCTCCTTGTCTGTCCTCCCTTTCTAAACCCAAATTTACCTCTCTTTCCCATCAGTACCGGAGCCACCCTGGGGCCCTTCTGCCCTCACTGAGGTTAAACAGAAAGTAAAACACGAAGAGAGGGCAGCAAACAGGAACGTTTCCACTTCAGTTCTGCCACATGGGGCCATGTCATCCTCTTCCTGAGGCCTCTGGAACAGCCATCTGAGCATCCTCCAGCTTTTATGAGCCACAACAGCCATCTCCCGCTCACGTTACACTGATGATGCTTACTGCCCTGTGCAGCTGGCCCAAACAACAAGGAAACACCCAAACTACCCCCGGCCCCCCCCGAAGGGGTGAGCAGAAAAGGACATTAACGCAAAATCCCCCTTCTTCTCCGCGCACCTCACCCTGGCAGGGGGTGTCTCCTGCCCCCCAG